AGAGACGGGGTTTCACCATGTTGACCAGGATGGTCTCGATCTCTTGACCTCGTGATCCACCCGCCTCGGCCTCCCAAAGTGCTGGGATTACAGGCTTGAGCCACCGCGCCCGGCCGTATACACCACATTTTGTTTATCCATTTGTCCATCAGTGAACACTTGGCTTGCTTCCATCTTTAGGCTGTTGTGAAAAATGCTGCTATGAAAATGGGTATACAAATATCCCTTCAAGACCCTTCTTTCAATTCATTTGGATTTATAGTTAGAAATGGTCCTGCTGGATCATGCAGTAATTTTATTTTTAACTTTTTGATAAACTACCAGCTTTCCATAACAGCTGCTCCATTTACATTCCCACCAGCAGGTCACAAGAGTTCTGTCTATTTCTCCATATCCTCATCAACATGTATTTTCTGCTCTTTTGATAGTAGTAAGCGTGGCTTTGACTTGCATTTCCCTAGTGACTAATGATGTTGAGCATCTTTTCATGTCCTTGTTGGCCATTTGTATGTTTTCTTTGGAGAAATGTGAATTCAAGTCCTTGCCCATTTAAAAATTTTGGGTTGTCTTCTGTTGTTCCATTCTGAGAGCTCTTTATATATTCTGGATACTAGACCCTTATCAGATATATGACTTGCAGATATTTTTCTGTAGATTGCCTTTTCATTCTGTTGATTGTATCCTTTGATGTACAGACGTTTTAAATTTTGATTTTAAATTTAGTCCCATTTGTGTATTTTTACTTTTGTTGCCTGGGTTTTTGGTGTCATATCCAAGAAATGATTGCCAATTATTTGGATTTTTAAAATTATGAAGTTTATGTGCATGTCCCTTGCTTATTTTTTAATTGCACTGTTCATCTTCTTTATAACGATTTTTGAAAGCTCTCTGCATATTAAGGAAATTAGTCTTTTATCATATAAGGTGCACATACTTTTTTCCTGTTTTGTTGTCTTTTGACCTTGTGTTTGGCCTTTCCCCAGAAAAGCCGTTATGAGACCTATATCCACCTCCTGTCTGTGAAGATCAAAGTGGGCTCAGATGATCTGGAGCGGATTGAGGCCCGGCTGGCCACTCTGGAAGGGGATGACCCTTCTCTCCGGAAGACACACTCAAGCCCTGCCCTCAGCCAGGGCCACGTGACTGGCAGCAAAACCACAAAGGATGCCACTGGGCCTGATACTTAGCTGATGTGGATGTGCAGGCCCCAGAGGTGGGCAAAGGCTCCAGTGGGGCCGGTGAGCACAATTCCAGCCAGGAGCCACGCGGACCATGCTCCAGGCAGTTGATGGGCAGCCAGAGTGTGAAGAAAGCCTGTAGGCCCAGGAGATGGAGATGTCATTTGTGGCATTGACCTCCTTGCATCCGGGGGCATCTCTGGGCATCAGACCCTCTCCCCAGCCCTTGTTTCCCTCTCCACCATGGAGCCTCATTTTGTAGGCCAAATGTGTGCATGCTCTAGACATCACCTTGCTGGAGAAGCTGGAAGGGCTGTTGTCTTCCCAGGTCTTCCTCTTCTCATCAAGCTCCTCTCCTCATCTTTCTTGTCTGTGAGGGCAGATCTTGACTCCAGGTCTCAGCTGGAACCCCACCTTTTCTCCTCCTCCTTCCTCTGAGTTGACCAGCAGCAGGTCTGCAGACCACCAGCACCATCCCCTCCTTCCTCCCAGCAGCCTCCAGAACCACGCCCAGGTCTCCTGCCTCACATCACAATAATCTGGGACCCAGGCTTGTGCCCCTTCAGTGTCAAGCTGACTCTACTCACATGTGCGTCCACCTCTTTTCATCCATTGAGATCACTACTGCCTTCTTTGTATACAGACACAAATGTATATCTATAAGAATAATACATGCATAAGGAACCCCTGAAAGGTGGTTTTGGAACAGAAATCAGTTAGAGGATGCAATCAGATGAAGGAAAAGCCTATTTTGGAGCTTCCCCTGTTAGGAAGGATGGCTGCACTTGGCCCCCTGGCATTTCTGACTCTCTGGGAGGGAAGGGGTGGCAGTGCTGGAGTGCTGGCCTCCCTCTCCCTGTTTTCCCTCTTCCAGCTGACCTGTGACTTACACTGCCATTACAGTTGATGCTTTTGGAAAAAATAGAGCCTGTATGCACTGCCCCATTTGTCCCATGGATATCCTGGGGTGTGAGTGGGATGGGACCACGGCCCTGTTTATATTTGGGTCTTTATGTTGGTGTTGCCAGGTCTCTGAGCTGCAAAGGTGGCCTCTTGGACAGATCTACAGCTATAGGAATAAAAGACACTCTGCCTCGAAAATGGCCACTTGTCAACAAGGCCAAAGATGCTTGTCAGAGGAAGGTTATGGAAGCCATTAATTCTTGGTCTTGGGAAAAGGTGGAATGACAAGTTACTGATTGTTTTTCTGTTGTTATTTCTTTCATTTTTCTAGTGAATCAGAAAGGCTTAGCTAAGGATGTATCTGGGAAGAGTGGAGAAATTTGCCACTTGATGATCACGGATTAGCTAGCACCTTTAAGCCCTGCATTCCTCCAACTGACAAGTTGGTGGGGGTGATGGCACGTGCAGTACGGCCATGAAGAGCTAATCCTCTCTATTTAAATAGATGACTGTAGTTTGGCTAGCAATTTGACATCAGTGGTAACGTACCTAGTTAATAAAATAAGCCAGGCTTGCAACTAAGTATCTAACTTTACAGGCCCACTCACATTTGAGGCAAGGGGCTGTTGAGTATGTGGAGAGATGTAGTGATTTAAATTCAGATTGTTTAAGTTGGATCAGCTGAAGTGTGTTTTAGAACCAAACCATCTGGCCCCTTCGTTTCGCTCAGAGGAAGTAAATGTTCACTTAAATGAAATTGAAAACGCAATGTGGCACCACAAAAGCTCTAGGTACTTTCTCCATGCTGCCTCAAAAGTCCTTTGATTTTTGGGGTCAGTCTCACCCTTCACTTCCTGAGGGCGGGTGAGTGGAGAGCAGAACAGGGAGCTCCGGCAGCTGTGGACAGATGTGCTTCCTGAGCACGGGTTGTGCCTCCCATCGTAAAAAAATGTTTAGTTCACTTCCTTAATTGTATAATTATTTATTTGTAAATTATATACATGTACTACTGTACTAAAATATTATGTACATTATAAAACATACACAAAAATAGAAATTTAAAAAAGACAAGATGAAAATAAATCTAAATCAAAGTTCTAATATTTTTTCCTGCATTCAACTGGATCCTCATGTTTCCCCACAACTGCTGTCTCCAACATGCCCATTTTTTAGGACTGTTCAAATCCGGGACTGGTGACATGCAATAAGTGGTTTGCGCCACCTGGTGGTGCTGGGGGGTGTCCTCGGGCTCAGGGACTTCTGAGGTCTGCCCTTGATAACAGTGTCTCTTGCGCCTTCATCCTCTCATTCAATGAGGGCCAACTGTGTGCTGCACACTGGGCATGGTGATGGGGATACGGTGGGAGGCAGTTTGCTCCCTGTCTTCGTGCGGCTCACACTTTGGTGGGGACAACAGGCAGTTACCGTTACCACTTGGACCTCTGGGAAGGTCTGCAAAGAGAAGCCAAAAAATGACCTGGAAGAGAAAAGAAGGAACTGGGAAAGTGGGGACAAAACCTCTGAGTTGGGAAGCTGCCTGAACATCATCCTACATGTTCCAGTGACAGGGTGGGGGTAGGGAAGTAGTTTGACAGGACTGCGACTCTTCCTGAAAGGCCATGGGAAGGCTCCCCAAGGCAGAGATTTGAGAGGCAGAATGGGGCCTCTCTACCCACATGTGTTCCCCAGTTCTAACCATACCTGTGAAATGAATGGGTGGATGACAGGTGAAGAAAGAACTCTGTTAGGCTCTGGCCTTGCATTCTCGGCATGTGTGGCAGGTAATGTAGGATACAGAGCATATAATGAAGGTACTTGATGCTCATGCAAAGGTCGGTGAGTTCACCAAGAGGTTATTCAGAATCAACCAAGGGCCACAGAGATTGGCGAGTTCATTGGGTCACATCTGACTCTAAAATTTAGAAGGCGACAGCAACCTAGAGCCCTGGTAAAGGTAAAAGTCACATGAGGACACTAAGCTGGATCACACAAAGGTCAATGGGTGAACTCCCAAAGAGTTCATATGGAGTTCACTTGGGATCCAACAGAAGCCACCAGTCCCGTGGAAGAATAACTGGCTCTCAGAGGATTTTAAAGCCAACCACACATCCAGAGACAGCAGAGGAGGCTGGGTGAAATCAACAGAAGGGGGCTGGGAGGGGCCAATGAATTGCAGGTTTATGTGGCATTATTTTCCTTTTTAAAAATTTTTTGTTAGCAGATATTTTTCCCCAGCACCCCCACAATGAACACAAAAACTTTAGTTTGTTCTTTCCATCATCTCCCTCTAATCTAGTTTTTGTCACTCTGGCTGTGTGATACAAGGATGCAAGGCAAGGGATATTGTCATCACTACCATCAAATTAGCCATGTACTAGGAGTCTATCACATGCCAGTATCAGCACTGGGTATTTTATAATCACCACAGAAACCTTTTGGGGTAGTTATTTGCATCACCATTTCCCAGCAAGGAAACTGTGGCCTACAGCTATCACACAGCTGGGAGGCACAGAGCTGGAATTTGAACTCATGCCCTGTTGATGCCAAAGCCCTCTCAACCTGCAGCCTCTCTGTCCCTCCCACCTGTAGGTCTGTAAATACATTCTAGGGACATTCACACCTACCCACACCCTCACAAACACACACACATGAGCAAGCGATTGTGGATGCCAACCACCTCAGCTCTTTGGGTGGAAGATGTCATGGTGTCTGGCTGGAACCGAATAGTTCCCAGTGCTGGGCACTGGTTTACTAAATTAGTTGATGAGGGAAAAGTCTTTTGAACCCTGGTCCTCCATCTGCCTTCTCCATATTGAAATCATGTACTCTCCCTCAGGGCTGCGGGTTTAGACAGGCCCTGGCTCTGAGGGGGTATAAACTGGGGAAAGAGCAACACCCTGTAGGCTTATGAGCTGCAGCAGCTGTGGTCCTCCTGGCAGCTGGGGGTACCTGTTATACCACTTTGCATGTCCAGACTTTGCCTGTGACGTGCCTCAGGGTCCAAGGGTCATCCTGCCTCAGCTGTGCCAGTGCCAACCCCACAACCCACCCCTCCTCACCCACTTAGGCTGGCAACTGTTGCCTCAGTCCAGCCCATAGATCCAGGGCAGGAACTGGGCCAGAGTTCCAAGGCTGAGTTTGAAGCAGAGCAATTTGCGTCAGTCCCTTGGCCAGATTCCCCAGCAGCCAGGGGGACACCTTGTAAATATTCTTGGAAGCAAGAGGAGGGCTGGAGTCTGTCCTGGGAGCTGGGGCCATTGAGACTGGAGAGAGAGTCACTTCCTCTCAGGGACTGTCCTGGCTCCCTCCAACCTCCAGGCCAGATCATCCACCTCCACCATGGGACTTGGTGCTCTGACTTCCCTCCACATCTGGGGCTAGGCACACACAGTCAAACAGGAGTTATTTCTGATTTTATTTATAATATAAAAATGTTCAAGTGTCAACAGTCAGGTGTTCAGACATTTCAGGGCAGGATTCCCATTTGTTTCTGTTTGGGATTTTTTTTTTTTTTTTTTTTTTTTTTTTTTTTACAATTACCTTTTTGACAAATTAGCAGTGGACCCAGGTTTTGGGGGTGGGAGGGCAGGACTGGAGACGGAGTGTAAGTCATAGGTGGGTTGGGGGCTGGGAAGTAGCCTGTGAGAAGGAAATGGTGTTACTTTATTGCTAAAAAGGGAATACACTGTCGAGTGGCTCTTCTCGGTCCCAGCGTGACCATGCATCCAATCTAAAGAATCTGAAATGCAAAGGACATGCAGGTGTAAAATAGAAAAGACGACCTGTAAACGAAGGCGCTGCAGAGGACGGAGGGGCGCCCTGGAGGCTGTGGGGGACAGGAGCCGCCAACATTGGGACCCTGGCAGAGCTGCCCCTCCCTGGGCCCAGGCTTTCTGGGAGACCTTTCTCTGCCCGGCTCCCTTAACCGCTGTGAGTAGCCAGGGCTCCCCCATTCGGGTAGCTGTGTTTTTATCTTCCACTGGAAGTTACCCAGCACCAGCTCCAAGTCTAGAGTCCTGGCCCTCACGCCCCAGGGGTTCGGAACTCCAGCTCTTGCCTGGGGGCAAAGCTACTTCTGTCCTCAGTTCTTCCTCAGGGCCAAGCCCCCACCACACCCCACCCTCGCCCCCACCAGAACCCCACAGCCTCTTCTCTCCCTGTCACTCCCAGCACTCCGCAACCCAGAGACCTCTCCCGGAGCCCCAGATGAGCGTACAGCAAAAGGCACCACAAAATAGGTTTCTATTAAAGAGTCAAAAAATTGGCCCATCTCTCTTTTTTTTTTGTTGTTTCTTTTTTTTTCCGAAGCTGTAAATCAGGATGTCACATATAAATAGTTTCCCTATAAAAACGTCTTTGCCGTTAGCTAGTATTATAAGACAATTTTTGCTAAAATGAAAATAAAACATTTTGTTATACTTTTTTCCTTTTATAGAAAATAAAAATATTTTTATTTCTTTTTTCCTCCTTTCTCTCCAGTTGGCGGTCTCTCGTCTCCTTAAAGACAGTGGCGCGGGCGAGGCGGAGGGGCGCGCGGCGGGGCCCTAGAGCGGCGCCGAGTCCTGCTTGGCCCGCGGGGGCGGCCCGCGGCTGTGTCTGCTGCTGGCCCGCGTGCTGTGGCTGTCCAGGGAGTAGTAAGTCCTGCTGTCGGCCGCCGGGTACAGCGGCGGCGAGTCCGAGCGCAGCGAGTCGTGCGCCGCGCGCAGGCCCAGGAAAGGCGTGCTCTCGGCCGCCAGCGCCCCGTCCGCGTCGTCGTCCGACGCCGAGGCCGAGCCGCCGCCCGAGCCGCTGCTCAGCGACAGCGAGTCCCGCGCCTCCCGTGCGCGCTGCGCCGCCAGCCCGTTGAGGCGCGAGCGGCGCCAGCGCCGGGGCCCCGCCGACGTCCTGCGGGACGCGCCGCGCACGCGCGGCCGCGGGGGCGGCGGGGGCGCGCACTCCTGCGTGGTCTCGTACTCGTCGTCCTCCGGGATGCGAAAGGGGCTGGCGGGCAGGCTGCCCAGGCTGCCGCCGAGCGCGCAGGTCCCGCGCCGCGGCCCGGGCCCCGCTGCTGGGTAGTAGTAGCTGTCGTAGCTGCGCTGCATGTCTGCGCCGGGTCCGGGTCCCGGCCCGGGGCCGGGGGGCGCCGGGTGCCGCAGTAGCGGCTGCTGCTCCGCCAGGCGGTAGCTGATGGGCGCGGCGGGCGGCAGCGACACTGCGTGCGCCGAGTTGGGGGACGTGATCTCGAAAGTCGGCACCTGCGTGGCCAGCGAGTAGTGGAAGTCCACGGGCGAGAGGCGCGCGGGCGTGGTCAGGGCCGACACGTACCTGCGGGGAGAGGCAGAGGCATGGGCCTGGGCCAGTCCCGGGCCTGGGGTTGGGGGTGGGGTGGGGTAGGCTGGGAGGGGCGGACCCAGACCTGCAGTAACCTTGCCCCAGAACCCGCCTGCAAGAATGATGGCGGTAACCCTCAGTGGCCTTATGCGATTTCCTAAACTTCTCCGAGCCTCGGTTTCTTATTTGTTAAGCGGGCATAACCATGGTGCTCATTCCATAGCAATGTTGGGATGATTGCACAATTTATCAGTGGGATGTGGTAGCCCTGTGCCTGACCTGGTAAGTCTCCATGAATGGCTCACCGTTACATCACTGGGTCAGGCCCACACTGGGGTATAGTACAGGTTCCATCTGGTTTAATACGGCAGCTCTGTAAGACCCTTCCACAAGTCCCATTCTACACACAGGAAACTAACACTCAGAACGTTTAAATGACTTATTCAGGATTTACACAGCCAGGAAGTGGCAGAGCTGGGATGTGACTTGAGGCTAGGCAGGAACCAGGACTCATACTGCCCAATTCCAGAACCCACTAGTCCCCATTCAGATACCCCTGTGACCTGTACTCACTGCCCCACAGGGACAATTCATCCCATGCCCCAATGGCTTCAGTGAGGGAAGCAGTCCTTCTTATATTGAAGTCAAAACCTGCTTCAGGGAAGTACCAAGATCCCACTGAGGTGTCTCTGCTTGTGGCTGCAGACCCATCACCACACCACCAGCTCCTTCAGAATTTTGCCCTGGCTAATATCTCCCAGGCTGGATCCCGGGTACCTGTCCCTTTCTGT